ACAAAATTGTAAAAATGGTGATTTTTTCAGATAATCATAATTTTTTTTAGGTGATAAAAAGAAAATAAACGCAAATATGGATTAATTTATAATAAAGAAGAAAACAAAAACATAGTAGAGTGAGTAATTATGGTCATTATTTTATCGTATTCTTCTATTAATTCTTTCTTCTTTCTGTCTTTTTTTTCGTTTTTTTTTTATTTAATTTTTGTAAAAATGTCATTTATTATTTTTATGTTTGGCGACGACAAATTTTAAGAAAATTTCAGCACAATTTTTGTATTTTTAGTGAGTTATTTAATTTTGGGTGGTGCACTCTCGGCCCTGGCTCGCCCGGAATGCTGCCGGCCGAAAATTACGGTCCTTTGACTGTTTTTTATTTGTGTGCGGTCGCTGCTGTGGGTTTTCGACGCTAATGACGAAACAAAAGCCGTGGCACGCCCCGAAGAAGAAGAGAAATCGGTGCTCAACAAGCCTTCAAAATTTACAAGTTTCATCGAATAAAAAAAATTCTTGAATAACTTCTCTCTGTATTTACCACAACAATAACAGACGAAACACCGAAATTATCCCCAAGAAGCAAATGATAGGGGAAAGAAAGAAGTCGCCGCCAGAAAAACATCATCTGCAAGAACAATCAAAGACCGGTGTCTCCAATGCATACAGAGTGTCCCAGAGCTCCGTATTTCTTCCATTACTCTGACAGTAAAGAAGATAACAAAATGCGGTTTCTTTTGGACGATAGACATTCATTTTTTCTATGGTCCGAAAATATTCTCGTTATTATAAATAATTTTTATATAGAGTGGCGCAACAAAGTTATATTTTTTCTTATGGAACACCCAGTATATTATGCGCTTCTTTGAAAGAGTTTTTAATTCTAAGAATATTCATATTAGGTTTTATGGGTCTATCATCCACCGTTTATCATTTATGGGCAATTTTATGAAAAAAAAGTACCATTTTTGAAAAATCACAACGGCTTTGCTAGAAAAGAAAAGTGAATAAAAACAATTGTGGTTGAAATTCGATCAATCTTTTGCAACTACTGCAGAGTGTTGACATTCGCAAAATATCAAGTAACTTGATTTTGTCAAATGAAACACCCTATATGTTATTACTTTATCGTGTAGAGCTTTCTAAAAAACCTAGGGTTTGGAGGTCTAAACCTTACCTGTTTTATTGTACACCTTTTTAAAGCTACAAAATTTTTGAGGCGATAAAGAGAAAATAAGCGTAAATAATGCTTCATTTTTCTTTATTTTAGCTTACAATAAAGAATATTACAAAAAAAAACTAAATAATAATTATACAGAGTCATTTTAGTCATTATTTTATCTTTCTATTCTATTATTAATTTTTCTTCTTCTCATTTCT